CTCTGCAAAGAATTGGAAGGCAAGGTGAGATGGGTGTTTAAGGACATGGGAATGTAGACAAGATTTGGAATAGCCCCATACTACAGCTAAGAAAGGGTTAGACCTTTCAAATAAGATTTTAATAGTAAAAGGAGCTACTGTTTATGATGCCAGTACTGCTTATTATGCTAGATACTTTATGCACATTACATCACTAAAAATGAAAAATCTTCTCAATTTGCTACCTACCTCTATGACTGCTCCTTCTCAGTCTCTTTTGTGCTGTTTGTTAAATATTGGTGGTCATCAGGGTTTCATTCTTAGTCTTCTCTTCTTATTCACACTGGGTAACCTGTATCTCTCCCATGATTTCTATTGCCGTGTGTATGCTGCTGACTCTCAAGTCTATAACTCAAAGCTAGACTCCTTTCCCCTAAACACACAGCACCAGACTCAATGTCCAGAACTGCCTACTGGACATTCACCTGGACGTCCCAGATGACTTTTAATTATAGATGTCCACAACTTGCTTTCATCATTTCCCTCCAAACCTATTTTTCCTGCTGAGTTCCCTGCTTCTGTGAATTTTTGGAATAGTTTTAAGAGTAGGGATTCTAGAACCAGACAGCCTGGATTCAATTCTCATCTCTATTAGATCTATGACTTTGAACCAACCAATAGACCTCTGTGATTCAGTTTCCTCACATGTGAAATGGGAATGGTAAGAACAGCATTTACTTCATAGGACTGTAGAGCAGAGTAATGAGTTAATATGTTAAAATACTTAGATCAGTGCCTGGCACATGGTAAGGCCATGGGAGTGTTCATTATCATTGCCACAGTTAGAGAACTTGGATATCATATCATCTTTGTCCCTCATTCTCACATCCCAACATGCCCCAAGTCCTATTGATTCAGTCTCGTTATCTCTCATCCCTCACTGCCACCACCTTAGTTTGATGCCCAAGATCAAGGGTCAGCATTTTTTTTTTTATGTAAAAGGGCAGAAAGTAAATATTTTAGGCTTTGCATGTCAAAACTACTCAAATCTCTTGTAGTTGTGCAAAAGATACCCTAGACAATTCAAAAATGGTTGAGCATGGCTGTGTTCCAGTAAATATTTACGGACACTGAAAATTGAATTTCATATAATTTTCATGTGTCACAAAATGTTATTATTTTCATTTTTAAAAGCCATTTTAAAATGTAAAAAAAGCATTCTTATCTTGTGCACCATGCAAAAACAGGTAAGGTGCCAGATTTGGCCTTTGGACTAAAATTTGCCAAACTCTGGGCAAGATAAGATCATCTTTTGGTAAAATACTGCAGTAGCTTCTTAAATGGTCTCTCTGCTTCTAATCTTGCCCCTGCACACCAAGTCAATTTTTTATGATGCTCCATTAACCTCAGGATGACCCTGAGGTTCTTTGTAATCTGGTCTCTGTTTATTATTCCAACTCATTTCTCAACACTTTTCCTCTGTATTTACTGTATTTGCTACTCAACTACATGAAGTTTCCCAAATATGCAAACTTCTTCCTCTAGACCTTTTTATATGCTCTCCCTTCTGTTTAGAGACTCTTCCTAACCTTCTTTTGTTCTCCCATTGGTCCCTCAGGTCCCATTTTATAAATCACTTCCTTCATATTTTCCTGAGCTTCCATGTCTGGTTGTGTCCCTTCTCATGCTTATATAGGACCATATTGAAATACTGTCTCATTGCATTACAATTGCATATTCATTTTGGTCTTAACCTGTAGACTGGAACCGAGACTGTCTTTTTCACTTGTATATCCATACTGCCTGTGTTAGAAAGACATTTGATGAAGTTATGACTCCCCGTGGTAATCCTTCAAGGAAAGTATTATTGTCCCTATTTTATAGATGAGAAAACTAAAGCTCAGAGAACATGAATATTTTTTCCCAAGTCTACACAGTATGTATTGGAATAAAGATTTGTTCATGCTTATTCCACTACCCCATGCTACCTCCCAAAGTTCAGGAATAACAAGGAAGATAATTGCCTCATAAAGTCTAGTTTTCTCAACATCAGTTTAGAAATCTTCATGCCTAGTCCCTAGGTGAGTTGTAAAGACCATTTTGAAAATCTTATTGTCCAGGAGTGTATATTTAGATATTTTTAAGGATCCTATTCTACCCAAGTGATGTACCCTTTTTGACATTGTTCCTGCAATCCTTTTCCCTGTCCCTAAGCAGCTCCCTTTCTCATTTTATATAGCAGCAATTCCAAACTCTCATCACTTACTTGATGAACTTTTCCTACTACCTTCCCTAATAGGAAAATGTTGAGCAAATTAAGAATTGAGGCTCCTTTAGTCCTACCTGCTTGACTCAACCTGCTTGACCAGGTTGTAGCGCTGAGCCCTGTAAAGTAAGTTGGTGACTAGCAACCCTCAGCTAGCACCATAGACCATATGGAACAGGTGGGAGTTGTAAAAAGATATACATTGTCCTAAGACAGATAGGGATTTTAGATAAAGGAGAAATAGACAGCCCCCAGGGACAAATGGGCCGTGTTCCAAAAATTCAATTTTAAATTGACTGTTTGGAATGCAGAACACATTTTCCCTTAGACACAATGCTATGAATAATTGCAGTTATTTTCCCAGGAAAGTCCACACAAGCTTGTTTAACCCATAATGTTGCAGAAATATCTGCTAAGACATTTTGGATTTACATCGAGTGCATCCCTTAAATCCTTACCACTCTGAATTATAAATTAGCTACATGCATAGCTGCCACTTCAACTAAACTGTGAACTCTTTGAGGGCTGGAAACTGTTGAATTATTCATTTTTGTATTCTGAATGCCTGGCATATAACTGACAATAAATGTTGGTTGCATAAATTAATGAACAAATTTAATAGGCATTTGAATAGATTTGAAAATGTGTTAGGGAATAAAAATAGTAACATTTAGTGGCTACCTTCATATGTGTCTGGCACTGTACTAGGCAGATGACCAATAAAGGAACCTGCTTTGTTTGGGCTAGAGGTAGGGATAAAAAAGCTGAAGGCAATTTAGTATTTGAGATATAAAATAAATGGGTGCTAGACTTGCTAAATAAATGTTTTGGATAATACAAATGGATAGATGTACTGATTTGAAAAAAGTCACAGAAAAGATATCACCAGGAGTTGATATCCAAAGGGAAGCATTTCTTTTTGGGGGGAGCTCTAAGACTGAGTGAGAAGGGGAGAGGTAGGACCACAGCTAAGGAGCAGAAGATGGAAGATAAGTTTTGATAACAGAAAGCAGTGGTCAGAGAAGAATGGAAGGATTGGTTTGGATTAGGCCCTGTTTTAATTTCATCTGGTTTATTGCTCCCTGTAAAGAGGTAATTGCTCTGGCCAGTCTCTGATTTGTTGTTAGTTTAGATTGAATTATTATCACTCTCCCAAAGATTGAGGTTAATCAGACTGATTTCTTTCCACAGTGACAGTCCGCGCTTGTTAAAATTTGGTAGGGATGGTGTCTTAGTTTGGGCTGCTGTAACACAATACTATAAACTGGGGGGCTTAATCAGCAAACAATTATTTCTTACAGTTGTGGATGCTTGAAATGTGAGATCAGGGTGCTGGCATGGTCACTTGGTGAAGGTTCTCTTCTGGGTTGAAGATGAGGTTGATTTCCCATTGTATCCTCACATAGCAGAGAGAGTGAGGGAGGTCTCTGGAGTCTCTTTTGTAAGGGCAGTAATCCCATTAATGAGGGCTCTATTCTCATGACCTAATTATCTCCCAAAGGCCTCCACCTCCTGATACCATCATGTAGGGGTTGGGATTTCAGTACATGAATTTGGGGAGCCAGTGAGGGCGCAAAAACATTCCATAACAGATGAGTATAATGCTGAAGGCAGTGGAGTGGAGATCCTAGGCGGTCAGGGAGATACGCAACCTGGGAAGGCGGGAGAGGAAACATCTCTGGATAGTTTTTGGTGGAGAAAGAAAAAGCGGAGGGGTGGCAGAGAAAGGAGGGTGAAAGAGATGGGCAAAGGGAGGCAAACAACGATTTCATAATTCTATAAAGGGCCCAACCACTCAGAAACTCCCTCTCACTTAATGCCAGCCTGATCTTTGTTCTTTGAAAGTGTAACTACAACTACTTCCGTATTTTCTTTATTGTCCCCAAAGTGCTTGAGTATAATCAATAAATACTTGTTGATTGATTATTCTGAGTGTTTCAAATCAATCCACACATCTGGTTTTTATTAAGGATCTTAGAATTGACATTGATCAAGCTGAGATAAGAACTGTCTTTAAATTTATAAGATATTTTGTGTTTCTCCCTAAGGAAAAGCAAACACTTGTCCATGCCTATTTTGAACCTTACACTTTACTGGGGAATTTACTTATATAATTGCATTTCTAATAATTCATCATTGTTTTAACAATTACTGAATACCCATTATAAGTCAAGCCTTATGCTAGACAATGATGATAAAAGTCAAAAAGGGAGAAACTCTAACCTTCTAGCAGTTGCTAAACCAACAGTTGCCACGTAGTTTGAGAAGTGCAATGAAAGAGGCAAGCAGTTGCCAATTTTGGAAGACAGAAAAGGGGAGCTTTAACTCAAAATGGGTAGGAAATACAGACAATAAAAAGAAAACAAGTATTTGTTGTTTGTCTGAAATGAAAATTTAACTGGGTGCCAAGAGGAGCCTGAGGAGACATGACTAAATGTAATGATATCCTGGATGGGATGCTGGATCAGAAAAAGGACATTAGGAAAAAAACCCTGAAGAAATATGAATAAAATATGGATTTTACTTAATAATAATGTATTACTATTGTTATTTGCAACAAATGTACCATACTAATGTAAGATGTTAATAATAGGGGAAATGGAATATATTAGAACCGTCTTACTCTGTGCAATAATTCTGAAAATTCAAAACTGTTCTCAAATAAAAAGCTTATTGGGGTGCCTGGGTGGCTCAGTCCTTAAGCGTCTGCCTTCGGCTCAGGTCATGATCCCAGGGTCCTGGGATCCAGCCCCACATCAGGCTCCCTGCTCAGCGGGAAGCCTGCTTCTCCCTCTCCCACTCCGCCTGCTTGTGTTCCCTCTCTCACTGTCCCTCTTTCTGTCAAATAAATGAATAAAATCTTTAAAAAAAAAAGTTTAAAAATTTTTAACTGGCATCTTGTATTTTTGTTAGATCTGGCAACCCTAACACTTTTACTTTTAAATAATAATTAAATATAAAATATGAAAAAAATTACATTGATAGTTTGAGATTTGAGTTACATATGATTTCTCCTAAATATTTGATCCAAATACTTCATTTTCTATAAACAGTTCATTGTTTTCTTTTTAGGCAAGGCTCCAGCAACCAAATAGTTATTACACACAATATACTTTAATGTGGAGATGCTTTGCTTCTAAATGCCATAAACTTATCAATTGCAAGCAATTTCAGAGGCTAAAAAAACAAAACTGGTTTAAGTTTCTTTCTCTCTCTCTCACACACAGACCATCAATAAAATTAATCTCAATTTAGGTTGCAAACATCTCAAGTGGTTAAAAAAAAACCCAGTTATGAGAAAATCAGCAAGGTTAAGGCCCTAAAAGTAATCAGTTGCCTGGGGTGACTGCTAATTTATGTTGCCTGAATGGAAAACAGTACTGATTATTTTACTCTCCGTGTTGCTCCTCTGGAAGAAAACAACCTGTGGTTTGTGGAACAAGAATTGAGTCTGGAACAAAAATAGAACTGTATAATATAACAGTTTTATTTGAAGGTGAGCTTAGAAAAGATCACTTATCAAACAAACGACCCAAGGAAGATGGGGCTTTTAAACAAGAGAATGAATTTGAGAGTATTTGTTATTTTCCAGATACAAGACCACCAAATATACTTTGCACAACTTTAATTTCTGCTTTGCTGCCTAACAAAATTAGGAAGTTAGATTCCCATTGCTTAATACGTAAGTGCTGTTAATATGCTAGCCCTTGTAAAGAAAATAAACCTGTCATCATATGGCACTAGAAATTATATATCAGAAGTTATTGGGTTCCCTTATCTTATTTTCTACTCTAAATAGAAAGTCCCTAAAACTAACTGTATTTGTGCCCCCAAAAGATATACATGTCATAAATTTCACTTTGCAAACACATGTAGATCATTTATTTTGTGCAAAGAACTATGCTGAAGAGCTTTGGTGTGTCCAGAGGCAAAAACGATTCCTATGCTGTTTCTATTTGTGCTACTCAAAAAAAGTTTTGTACTTTTAGAGACGAGGGGAATCATACGTTAAGTTAGGCTTTTGTTTATTTATATCGCAGTGTCCCTGGTCTCCTGCAAAAACATAAGGTGAAAGCTTCTTTATAAAAAGCAGATGAATACTTTCAAGGACTTGGGTCCGTTCTAAAGCAGGACCGTGGATTCTTCAAGAGCTCTGTTCACAAAGAAGGGTTAAGTCTGTCAAAGGAGCTAAAAAGGGGTGCGTTTTGCTTTTAAATCGGACAGTTTTCCCGTACGAGCTCGGTGAGGTCCTGGTCGGCGCCCCAGAAGGCTGGGCGGCTCGCGTAGATCCGACTCCAAGGACAAGAGGCCGCGGAAAGAGCCCAGTTCTGATGGGCGGGAAGGGGGAGGTGGGTCCGAGCCCCAACGGTTACAGACGGCCTGCCAGGGTCTTAGTGACCTCAGACTGCCATCGACGCTGGCCGCGACCCTAATCTAGGAACTGTCGCCCGCACGCCGGCTGGGCGCGTGGCCACGCTGATTGCTGTCGATCTTCCCGGCTCGGGCTGTGCAAGCAGGCCGCGGCAGCGCCCTTTCGGTACTTGGAAAGCGCCGTTCCAGGAGAAAGGCCGCGAGGGCGGGGCTTGGAGCCGTGCGGGACTATTTCCTCATACAGTGGTCAGTTAGGGCGAGGAAAGGCCACCAAGGCGGAGCGCTAGCCACATGGCGCGACCCCGCCGGGCCTCAGCGTTGGCGGGCACGGAGGACGCAGTGTAGTGCGAGAAGCTTAAAGCCCAAACTGTGGAAGGATGGGTCAGCTAGCGAACGTTTCGCCACAGACCACACGCCTAAGAGGGAATTTGAGAACGTATGGGGGAGGGGCGGAGAGAACAGGCGGCTTGCACAGAGCATGCTCTAAGAGCCGTAAGTGGAGAGCCAGGCATGCGCTGTGAAGCCGGGGTGGGTTGGCAGCAGGGAGGGGCTGGCGTGAGCGGGGTGCTGTGTTTATCCGGTTTTCTGGGTGGGCGGTCAAGGCGCACGCGTAAGGGCGAAAGGCGGTGGAGTTTGATATTGGAGTGCGCATGCGCGGAGCGAGCCGGTGGCTCTGGGAGGGTGTAGAGGGGGCTCTTAGAGGAGAAGCAGGGGAAAAGGGAAGCGAAGGGAAAGGAAAGGGCGGGGGGAGGGGGTGAGAGTGTGCTCTGCGCATGCGTGCGGGCGCTAGCGACGACGGCGGCGGGGGAGTCTCGGGGATGACAGTGGCTTTGCCCGTTGGGGTAACGGTCGTCGTCGCCGGCAGGGCCTGAGGCGCCGCACAGTCCGCGGGATTTATTAAGGTCGCAGGAGCCCGGGCCCTACCGAGTTAAGAGTGGCGCGTGGAGTCAGGGTGAGGGCGGCGAGGCACGGGGGGAGGGGCCTGCGGCGGGGCCTTGCTGTGTGCTCTGGGCGGCGGCGGGGCCTGGCGGTGTGAGCTCTCGCCTCAGCTGCGGCCGGGCGGGAGCCGTGGGCGGCGGCGGCCGTCGTGCTTGGCCGAGGAGGTCTCCGTGTGTGCGGCGCGGAGAAGATGGCCGGGTAGTGAGGGGGCGGTGCTTGCGCCTGGTGACCTCGCAGTGAGCGACTGAGGAGCGAGGGGCGCCGCCGCGGCCCGACCGGGCCTGCTCCCCGCCCCCTCCCGCCGCCGTCGCCGCCGCCGCCGCCTCCGGCCCGCGCACTTCCTCCCCGGCCCTCCCCTATCGGGTGGGGGACTCTCCTGCCGGCTTTGCCACCTCAGGGAACAGCGGGGTTGTAACCACCGGGGCGGAGAGCCAGGCGCAGTCCGGGCCCCGCGTCCGATATGGAGAGAGCGGCGGCGGCCTCCGCCAGCCGCAACTGCAACATTCGCCGCCGCCGCGTCTTGGTGCACTAGATTGAGGAAGTCGACGCCCGAGCCGTCCTCCTTGCCGTCGCCGCTACCTCTGCGCCGGGCGCTGTGATGGAGTAAGGGCCCTGCAGCCCGTGCGAAGCGTGCCCGCCCCTCGGACCGGGCCGGGGCCTGCTCCCGCGCCCGCCCAGCTCGCCCTGAGGAGGTGCCTCCGCGTCCGGAGATGCAGCGAAGGCCGCCCGCCGAGCCGCGGGGCTAGACTGAGCGCCGAGTCCCGGCCCGAGCGCCGAAGCCCCCGCGTTCTTCGCTCCGAGGCTGCCTGGGACAAACTCGAACGCTGGTTTCTATCTTTCTCTTTCTCTCTTTATTTTTTTTGTGTCTGCAAGTCTCAGGGACGGAGGAGGGGCGCCAAGGCCCCATGTGTGGGAGGATTGCTTCAGCTCCACAAACTTGCACGGATTTTGGTTACTACTTTGGCCAGTGGTTCTTCTCTGATTTCCTCCGATTTGTTGCAAATTCGCCATTGTTCCCTGGCTGCTTACAAAGTTGGATCCGGAATTTCTTTTCAACCGGGAGCCAACGGTGTCGAAGTGTCTGCAATGAACCCCGTGAATGCTACTGCTCTCTACATTTCCGCGAGCCGCCTAGTGCTCAACTACGACCCCGGAGACCCCAAGGCGTTTACAGAGATTAACAGGCTCTTGCCTTACTTCCGACAGTCCCTCTCTTGCTGTGTTTGCGGTGAGACGCTTTTTATTGTTCCCTTTCAGTGCTTGTTTAAAAAAAATCTGGGCATTGGTAACAGGAACGGTTTGGCGGTGTGATGGTAGTTTTTATTAAGCTTTTGTTATTTGTGTATTAGTATACGGTCATTAGTTTCGTCAAAGGACTTTTGCCCGGCATTTCAGAAAGATAGCTCTTCTAAACCGTTTTGTACGGCGGCTTTAACGTTCAGAACTGTTAATTCGCCTCGGGTCAATTCCTTGCCATTTCTGTTGATGGTTTTATAAATGAGTGAAGTATGCTTGCATATTGGTGCTTTTTTTTTTTTCTTCAGCCTTTGCTACAAGAGCTGACAACACTTACCTTGGTGAAACGTGGTTAGGCCTGGTTAAAAAATGTACATGTGGCGTGTTTGCATTTCCCCAGACTGGTGTTATATGTGGGTAGTGGTATAATCTGATGCATCCACAGCCTGTGAACTCGGTGCAGAACTTTCCTCCGTGTTCTTCAACAAATGCTTTGACAGTTTGATGGTGAACAGTGAGCCCGGGAAGACTGATGGTACTCTTGTTTTTTAGCTGGTGGGATTTTTACAGGATTGTTCCTTGTTTTGTGGTTTTAATATGTTGTGACCTAGTAGACGGTTATTTTAGATGGTTGGTTTTTTTCCCCCAAAAATATTTTGTGCAGGGTAGGCTACTTTCAAGTTAGTTTTGAGAGGTGAAGGTATGCTAAATTGTCTAATGGAAGTGTCTCAAAGGTGCTAATAATTTGGATTAATTTTGTACCCATTATTACTTTTTAACTTTGCACCTTTTTTCAGAAAACCTGGACTGAAAATATTAATATGAGGGAAATGGGAACTGTCAAAAAAGAACCCAACACAACAGTGCTGTACTCCATTTCGTATTATTTTGCCCCAAGTTTTGAGGTTTTGCTGATGCACTTGTTTAGTCAGAACTTGAGAAATTCAGGCATTTCAGGTTTTCACTTTAATCTTAATTAAAAGAAATTTTGTGGCTGTAGTGGCTGAAGGAGGATACGGTATTCATTTGAGAATCTTGCATCATTTTCTGAATAGCATTGGGGCAAGGCACTGAAGGGGGTGCAAAGGAGGTGGAGATTGTGTTTTTTGCATACCAGGTACTTAATCTCATAAACATTTAAGTAACTGTTAGAATGTGATTAAGTGCTGCTGTGACTGGTAACAGACACTTAACACCTTTAAAGGGAAGCACTTGCCCTGGGCAAATCACCACTGCCCTGGGCCTCAGTTTCTTAATGTGTAAAATGAGAGCTTTGGGTTAGATTCCAGATTTCCTTTCAGCTTAAATTTTAGTACTCCCTTACCCCACTTCCACTTTTTACGGAGTGCTTCTTTTTATGTCTTAACAGCTTTTGATATTTTTTGAACTGAGGAGATAGAGCTCCTATAACTTCCTTTTCAACAAACCTTTCTTTTGGGGGGGATTGCTACTCTTGTGATGTATGGGAAAGAGGGCAAAGGGCAGCCCATCCTAGCCTGCTAGAACAGCAATAGCGAGTGATGTCATTATCCAGGTAACACTCAAAGATCTGGTAAGTCTCCTTTTTACTAGGGGCATGGGAATTAACTGCCTAATTTAAGGGTGAAATGGTAGTTTTGAATCATGTAGATGCTTGGGATTTTAAGTTCTTATTAATAGCTTCAGGATAGTTGTGATCTAATTGAACATTTTTCCAAATTCTAATGTGGGTTTAAAAAAAATGAAATTAAAGATAAAGCTACATTTAAAAAAACCCAGTTGTAGCTTTTTTTTAAAAAGCCAATTTTGGCAACACAAGGGGAATTTTTCTGACAGTGGGACTTTGCCATTATTATTCCTTTTTGTTCAAGCTGCTACTGCATCCTATGGAAAAGATTTGTGGTTTCTACTTTTACCCTAATTATAATTGAGTAGATGGCATAAATTTCAGCAGTCTGGATGTAGGTTCAGGCCTACCCTCTCTGACCGACCGCCCCCCCATCTCTTTGTACATAAGTCTGTGGTTATCAGGAGATATTTGAATTCAGTTATTTGAATTCAGAGCCAACATTTAATCATCTTTGTATCAGGTGTTGTCCTAGACTCACTTTTTTTCCTAGCTGAAAAGCATAAATACACTCAAATTAATAGGGCATGTGCAATCATATTTCATGAAGATAAGTACGTAAAAGTTTAATTCTATCTTCGTGCTGTAAATAGGGAGTTTGTTTCATCGGGTCCTCTGAAGTCTGATCCAATCCTACCTTTTCAGTCTTACATTTAACTGCTCTCATATAATTTCTGTGCTTCAGCCAGGCTGATGTTTTTGCCTTTTCAAACATACATGCCCTGTGTCTACCTTCTCTTTTCCCCGCCTTTATTCTCTGAAGTCTCTTCTGCCTAAAAATACTTCTTTTCTCGATGGTGTAACTCATTGATTTCCTCCCTCCTCAGTGAATTCTTCCTTGCTCACTGCAGCAAAAAGTTACATTTGTCCTTTGAACCTCTAACCGTTTGTCCCAGTCATAGGCACTTAGAGCTCTTTGGGTGCTGCTTTCATATCTAATTCTTCTGATATCTTAGGGAAAATTTTCTATTTTTTTGTACATTTTTGTGTTCCTCCTGCCAGTCACTTGCCTGTTGGTGTTTGTGACAGACTCAGAGAAGGAAAATGAGACTCTACAAACTTTGCAGTTAAGTTCAGATCTTGTTTCTTCTACTTTAACTTTTTGGCTCAGTTTCCTTTACCTACAAAAGGGGATAATTATACCTTCAAGTTTGTTTCTCTACATTTGTATTATATGTGGGCTTATTTTTTAAGTGGGGAAAAGCCTGTTTAACCCATGAGATCAAGTCTGTGGACTTGTTGTCTGGCACATATTAGGATGTGGTATCTGGCACATACTATGTGCTTAATATCCCACCCTTGTACAGATGTAGAGAAAGGTAGGAGGTGAGGGAAGAGACTGTACTATTGTCAGATCAATTATTGTCAAACCTAGATTATTCACTGGAACTATGGGTTTTGTATCATGGTTCTTTGAAATGTTAATTAGCTGATTATCACTGTTTATCAGTTCTTTTGTATATTTAAACTGTCTGAAACTTCTCGTGCATGGGATAGCAGTGCTCCAGAGAATTACTGTACTTTCTAGGTCACAGAAACAGTGACCAAGACAGTATTCCTGTGGGTACTATTTTTGTGTCCTTCCTTTCCCCTTGTTCTAAATGTTGGACTTTATCATTTATCAGAAAGTAGAATTTCTTTTGCTGGCATGAGATTTGATAAATTCTGTCCTAGGGATTTTAAGTTTTTCATTAAATTTTTAAGTCCTCAAACGATAGAACAAGTTTGGTATATAGAATCAAATCCTGTTAGAACTGGAAGGACATATTAAGTGGAAAAATATTAGTCTTTGAGATATTTGGAGTCCTGTAAGTTTATCATGTTTGAATCTCTACTAAGGCATATGGATATTTTTTTTGATGTTTTAGTTAGAAACAAGGTGGTTCTGACTTGGATTTATTGAATTGTTGTGAAACCTTTTGGACATCCAGTTTCTCATGGGAAGTTGGGGTACCTGGGTGGCTCAGTCACTTAAGCATCTGCCTTAGGCTCAGGTCATGATCCCATAGTCCTGGGATTGAGCCCTGGGTCGTGGGGGAGCCTGCTTCTCCCTCTGCCTGCTGTTTCCCCTGCTTGTGCACTCTCTCTCTTAAATAAAATTAAAAAAAAAAAAATGGGAAGGGGCTTTGATTAATGTTTCCCACTGACCTGGGGTTAACGTAGACTGATCAGGTTTTTGTTTTAAATGTTAAGGACTTAACAAAACCCTATCATCTTTTCTTACTATTTGTATTCTTATTTTCCACTAGAAAGGAGGTAGTTTTTTGAGGGTGAGAGCCTTGCTTCTTCTCTTGTTCACTCTTTTAGTCTTGTACCTGAGAGTTACTGGCTCAACAGGTATTTGTTGACAAGAGAAAGTCCCAAGGTGCAGATGTATTCTCAGAATAAAGCATATGCCTTAACTTTAAATAGATTAGCTCTATGAAAAATTACTTTTCATTTTCCTTTTTTTTCATTTGCCATTGTTTATGGACCCACATTGGAATTAGTGGGGTGTATGATCTCAAGAATCTTTTCTAGTTCTAGAATTCTGATTCTCCTCTTTTAGCAGAAATACTTTTTGACTGAGCAAACGATTTATAATTAACATGAATGAAATGTGAACACATAGTTTGGAGTGACTTATTTTAAACTAATCTTTTAGATGGAAGCTAAATTAGAAGGCCATTTGAACTTTTTAAAGATTTTACTTATTAGTACGCAAGAGAGCGAGCAGGAGCGGTGGAGGAGGTAGGGAGAGGGAGAAGCAGACTCCTGCTGAGCAGGGATCCTGAAGTGGGGCTGGATCCCAGGACCCCAAGATCATGACTTGAGCTGAAGGTAGATGCTTAACTGACTGAGCCACCCCGGCGCCCTTAAAAGGCTATTTGAATAATTGTACATAAATGTTATGTTAATGTTTTATACCTACATTTTTTCAAGTGTTTATTGATAAAGAATTTATTTTTATGTACTTATCACTGTAATTAAAATTTTTCATTGCAGTGAACATAAAATTTAACTGCTCTAAAGTGTATAGTTCTGTAATGTTAAGTATATTTACATTGTTGTAAAACCAATTTTCACAACTTTTTCATCTTGCAAATCTGAAACTATATCCAACTACCCTCTGCAGCCCTGGTAACCACCATTCTACTTTCTGTCTGAATTTGATTATTCTAGATACTTCATATAAGTGGAATCATACAGTATAGGTCTTTCTGTGATTGGTTTATTTAATTTAGCCTAACGTCCTGAAGGTTCATCCATGTTGTAGCATGTGTAAGGGTTTCCTTCCTTTTTAAGGCTGAATAATATTCCATTGTGTGTGTCTGCCACAAATGTCCATTCATCAGTTAATGGACTTTTGGGTTGTTTCCACCTTTTGGCTCTTGTGAATATGCTGTAGTGAAGTGGGTGTGCAGATAACTAAAGACCCTGCTTTCAGTTCTTTTGGGTGTATACTCAGAAATGGGATTGCTGGAATTGTGTACGGTATTTCCATTTTTAATTTTTTGAGGAACTTCCTTACTGTTTTCCATAGTGGTTACACCATTTTACAATCCCACCAGTAGTACAAGGGTTCCAGTTTCTCCACATCCTTGCTAGCACTTTTTTTTTTTTAATGGTAGACCATTCTTATGGGCATGAGGTGATGTCATTGTGGTTTTGATTTGCATTTCTCTAACGATGTTGATTATCTTCATATGCTTGCTGGCCATTGTGTTATTTTTGGAGAATCACTATCATTTTTTATCTTGAGAACTTACTCGTTATGTTCTTAATCTGTTTTAAATGCTGGACTAGAAAGATGAACAAGACACATGGTCACTACCCATATGTTGTTCAGCGTTACAAAGAAGACCGAGAAGTAGATCAGCAATTATTGGGGGAAGTGCTGTGTTAGAGGCATTTATATTATACCAAAATTTCAAGCATCATAATAGAACGCTTGTAAGTTTATTGCATGTGTAAAAGTTGCAGAAATTAACCATAAATGAGTTTTCCCCTCCATATAACTTGCTTTTGAATAGCTCTTTGGATCAAAGTTTAAGTGAACCTGATTGGTGTTAAGCAGTTTGGTTTACCAGGTTTTTTTCTTGGGACTTAAGTTCACCTGTTCTCTCTGGGAAGAATTCTCCAGGGAGCATTTATTTGGTAGGCTGGTAAGGAAGAACAGTAGTAATTTGAGAGAGTACATGAGAGGGGGGAGGGTTAGAGGGAGAAGCAGGCTCCTCGCTGAGCAGGGAGCCCAATGCGGGACTCGATCTCGGGACTCTGGGATCATGACCTGAACCGAAGGCAGTTGCTTAACCACCTGAGCCACCCAGGTGTCCCT